TCGTATTCTTCAAAGACACCTGACCTTGAAAAGCTAGGTTCAGTTTTAGAGATCTGACTCCTTGGAGTTCTATACAGAAATACAGCCACCTCCTCTTATCTTAACAAGCACATCTCCATTCCAAACAACAAGGGGTCTCATGGACGTGCATGGGAGTATCCCACCCACATGTCCAAAGCTTCAGCCACACCCTTTGGCCAGGGTGCACACACTGGCAGAAAGGTAGATGGGAGAAGATGTCCACGCAGGTCCTGGAAGTAGACTTGGGCCATTTGAACAAGAGGTTCCCAGGTCCTGGCTGCCCAAAGTGTGGTCTAGAAGGGAATACAGGCTTCCAGAGGGCACACCCCTCGGTCTCAGGGACTTTTCACTCCATGGAGGGAACGTTGGCTGGAGGGGAACCAGAGCAAAACCCTCTAAAGCATGGGACCCAGGCCAAGACCCTGCTTATCCAAATCTAAGCACAGTATTACCTTCCTGAGTTTGTTTCTCCATCTGTAAAAGGGGGTTATTAATAGACCTTCCTCCACAGAGCTACTCTATTAAATGAGTCAGTACACATAAGCTCATGACATAAAGTAAGTGGTTAATAGAAGCCAGTTATATTATAAAGAATATAAATGGACAGAGGCTCTAGAAACCAAGCAGGAAGAAGAAAACATCTCTGACACCCTTGACCTTTAAACTAATCTAGTTTAGGCTTTCTTCCCTGTTTTAAAAAGAACCTGGAAAGGAGCCATGTCCCCATCTGGCTGGGCAAAGTAGGCTGAGGAACTCACTGTGGGAAGGGTGACAAGTGCAGGCCCAGCCCCCTCCCGCCAGAGTATGTGGCCACCGACAAGCTCAGGGGCAGGCCTGCTGGCCACTGGGAGGGCTGCGGAACCCAGAGAGGGGTCTAGGAGATCTCTAGAAATTCTGACCTTCCCCTGAAACTCTCATCACACCCTCAGAGCTGGGAATGAGATCCAGCAGAGACGCTCCACTTTCGGTAGTTTCCAGTTCCAGAGCTACAGAGAAACAAGGATGTCGCAAGGTCATGGCTCTGTGAGACTTTCCAGAGCATTCAGTTTAATGTTCCTTTCAATGATGGGGAGCCTAAAGCCCAGAGAGGAGAGAGGTCTGTCCCAGGTTACCGGGCCATTCAGAGCCAGAGTCCAGGCTAGAACTCAAGACTTCTACTTCAGGTGGAGATTGCTTTCATCACACTGAGCAGCCTGGTCTGAGCCAGGGGAAGGTGGAGAAGTGGAGGTTAACATGGGGTCAGACACACGGAGGGTAGGAGATTTTAACTAGGAACAGACTCCCTAACCCAGCTCTGCCACTCGCGACTATGAGTCCTCAGGTTATGACTGTGCTTTCTGCCCCTAGACTGCAACATCTATTTCTTGGGTGCTGTTAGACTGAAGGAAAAAATTAATGCTATTATTATTAGTGCTTATTGACACAGGGTCAGGTACTCTGTTAGGTTCTCTCCTGGTTTATCTCATTGAATCCTTAAGCAATCCTATGAGATAGTATTGCCTGCCTCCCATTTTCTGGATGAGAAAATTGGGCCTCAGAAGAGTTAAACACCTTGCCCAAGGTCATCTAGCTAGTGAGGGGCACAGCCAAACAGGAATCCATCGAAACCTGTGCTCTTGACTATTGAGCCACCTCCCTCCCCTCGTGCAGTAACTGCCAAGAGACCTACACAGGGAGGTTGCCAAATAGGTGGAGAAAAGGACCAGGGGAGTTCTGGGACTCACTCGGTGGGTTCCCCCAGATGGAAGAGAGGCCTAGGGTGTCACACAGAGTAGGGGGTGCTGTTAATAAGGGGAAACTCAGAGGGAGTGGACACTCCTCTAGTTTGTGCCAATATCCTGCTTCTTCTACATGACTTCCCTTTCCACTGTTCTCCACACAGCAGGTCATCCCCCTTCTCAGGGAAAATCTATCCATCAGCCATTTCTGAAGATCCTTGGCCTCCTGTGGGGCTGCAGATCCATCGATAGCCACCAGAGGGCGGGCCAGCTCTATGGCCAAGTCTAAGGACCTAGTACTCCCCAGGGTCCAGCCAAGTGTCCAGCCAGGGCTGCGCCTAGTTGCGCTTTGGCACAGCCCTCCATTACACTTTGCCATCGGCTTTCTCCCTCAGTTCTCAAAACATCTAGTTGCAGAAGTTCAACTCACCTGGAAACAAGGTGTCTGGTTCCACAGGAATAAAGATCTTATGAGTCACCACCCAAAAGGCAATGGCCACAGGCACCACCACAGTCTCTGGTCAGAACTCCGTTTTACTAAGCACTTTCTCACACCTGAGTGACTGGAGATTTATCAAAGCCTCATGAGTGAGTAGCATGTTCACACCGAACAGATGAGGAAACGGAGGCACCAGGAAGGGGAGTGACTGGCTTAGGGTCACCTGGAGACCTCCGGTCTTCGCACTCCAGGGAAAGCTGGTTCCAATTCCCTGCCTGTCTGGAGGTGGGGAGGGGGGGCTGCAAAAGTGGGTAGGGAGAGGAACAAGGGGTCCAATGTTCTACCAGGACGACCAAATGCATTCGGTATTTCCTGTGGACAGACCAGCCAGCGACCCACCCACCACCACCATCCCTCCCCGCCTGTACACTGAGCACCTGCGGAGGACCCCAAGGTGGATGACAGCAGTCTCCTGCCCTCAAAAAGCTGGCGGTCTCGTGCGAGGAAAGTGGTGAGTCAGCAGATAGTTACAGGAAACCGACGCCTGTATGAAGGGATATGAGCAGAGGGGTTCATACACGTCAGGAGCATACCCAAGATGGGGGTGTTCCCTGGGGCTCCAAGGCCTGAAGAAGAGACCTAGAGCCAAGGACTCCAGGCAGGTGCACCCCTTTCCCTGAAGCTCACCCCGGAATGGGGGCTCCCCTCCCAGCTTCGGATGCCTGCTTGTGTTGGGAACCCGGGGTCCCCCCCACACACCCCTCCCAGAAGAGCGCGGGCCCCGGGAGCCGATGACAGCACACCTGAGTCAGCCCGCCGCCCACCCACCCCTGAGCGTCTGTCTACGCATCTTGTGATATTTCGCTCCCCGGGAGCCAGCCCCACTGAGCTCCGGAGGCAGCTCGGCAAACAAACCCAACGACAGATTGTGCCGCGGCTCATTCCGGGGAAGGACGCCAAATCCCACCCTGCTACCCCCAACACTCCCTCCCTGCCTCCCCCTCCAGGGCCTCCTCCCCGGGGCGCGGGCCCTCCCCCGCTGGGTGGGTCCGGGGAAATGCGGGCCCCGTTTCATCTAGAGATGGGAGGGGGAGCGGAGCCCCACAGACGCCCCTTTCCGCTCCTACAGACCCGATGGAGACAAGTGGGAGAGGCAATCAGGTGCCCAGAGGGCCTGGTAGCCCAGGAAGAGCAGAGGATGGGACCAGCAGGGGGCGCCCGAGCTCAAGGTGCAAGTGGGCCGGGAGCCCGCTAATGAAATGAGGTGGGAAAGGTGATCGAGGCAGCGAATGAGGCACACCAGGCCCAGAGATGGAGACACGGGAGCCACAAGGACCAGAGGGAAGCGACAGAGACACGGAGAGACACGAGAGAGACAGAAGATAGCGAGTGCATAAAGGGAGGAAATGGCAGGGAGGGCGGGCAGAACGGAGAGACGGAGACCATAAACTATGAATAAGGGGGCGGGGGGGGGGAGAAAAATCGAATGAGAACGAGGGAAGAATGAGACTGTGGATGGAACAGAGAATGAATGGAAAACTAGACCAGCATTTATACAGCGCCGACTGTTTGCCAAGCGCTGCGTAGAACTGAGACAGGAGAGGAGGAGCCAGAGAGAGGCGGCGGGGCGAGGGGTTCCTTTTATTTGCTCCCGGGAGGGGCCGTCGGGGTTCCCGCGCTTCCGTGGGCGCGGCGGGGCTGCACGCAGATAGCTCTGGCGCTGGCCTTCCTAGCCACTCCAGGTGCCCCCAACTCAGGGCCGCGCCTGTTGGCCACGGTCCCCGAAGCGACTCTCTCAAAGCCCCCGCGCCTGTCCGCACCGGGATGGCCTCCAAGGGCCGGATGCCGGGCCCGCTGGGCCGGGTCAGGGCCAGGATGTTTGGCATCGCCGCCTTTGTCAGGAAACGGCCGGCTGGCATCTCCCCGAACGCTGCCACGAGGGGCGCGAGGGGCCCGCATGAGATCAGAACGCACCTCTCCTTAAAGGAAAGAAGCAACCCGCGTGGAGCCGTCGCTCCACTCCCCACCCTTGAGCCCTCCCCTGACCGCGCGCGGGAGATGGGATATCCCGTTTAGGACACAGCAAACATACACATACAAATGCGCCTCCATGCGCACCCAAATTTGCACCCGCTCGCAAATGCATCAGACACGCGGACACATGTACCCTGGCCACCCATCTCCAAGCTCGCTCGGCCAAACTCACACAGCCTCACGTGTCCCACCAGCACGGACACGCGTGGGCACCAATGGCTCGCCCGCTGGCACACTCCCGTGCTCCGCTCTTCCCTGGGCCCACAGGAAAGGCAGCGTGTGCGCACTCAGAGTCACACCTGCACAGGCGTCCTTGAGCGCGCGTGCACGCGCCTATGCACAAACTTGCCTGCACTATTGTTACATAGTCTCACGCTCGGGGCTGGGAGTCCAGGAAAGGAAGGGGAAAGCGGAGCTTGGAGCGCTCCCAGGGGAGAGAAATGTTAAGGTCTGAGCCGTGGCACCAGGGACGCCACGAGGAGGCGGGGAGGGTGACCCAGGAGCCCACCTCCTCCGGAAAACTTGGGAGGGGGGGAACTGAACAAGTCCATGAGGTTCCACACACTAATGCGCCCCCACCCTCACCCCCCGGGATTTTTCTGGAAGCGAGGCGCCGCGAAGGCTATGGAACATAGTCCTGCGTGTCCCTCAAGGAGGGGCGGGGTCCGGGATGGAGGGGACTAGAGAGCCGCTCCCGCCTCCTAGTGGCCAGGAAAGGGTTACGTCGGCGAGCTAGGAAGCGAGGGAGGAGCCAGCGAGTGCGGGAAGGAGTGGGGGTGGTTGGGAAAAGCATCCTCGCTATCCCCACTCTCCCTCGGCTCGCAGCCGGGGCGCACGGACTGACCGACTCGCGCGCCGCCTGCGCCGCTGGGGAGCACCCTCACCGGGCTTCGACGGCTAGCTCCAGCCCTCCCCGCCCCGTCGCGCCCGCCCCGTCCCGTCGGGGCCGATGGCTCCTCCCGAGGCCCGCAGCCCGGGGGGCGCAGGGTAGAGCGCCGCGGCCCGGCCTCACTGCCCGGGGACTCCCGGGCCCCCGGAGCCCCGCGGAGTCCCCGCTGTCCGTCTGGCGGGCTCAGGGAGCGAGTGGGAGAGCCCCCCACCACCACCGCCGCCCCCTCTCCGCAGCGTCGAGACAAGATGCTGCCCGGGCTCGGGCGCCTGCTGCAAGGTAGGGATCCCTGCCCGCCGGAGGGCGGAGGAGGTACAGGGGAGGGGAGCCGGGCGCCCCTGCCCACAGGGCTGAGGTGGGGCAGTGGCCGGGTGTGGGGGTAGCCTGGCGAGGGGACAGCCTTAGCCCGGCCCCGCCCCCAGGGCTGCCGGCCGGAGAAGCGCACTCGATCGGAGCCTGCGGGGACGTGTGGGGAGCCGGTGACCGTGGAGGGACGCAGGGGCCAGGCGGGCCGGCCCGGAGGGGGGAGGGAGGCTCAGGTTCCGCTGTCCCGGCTCCACCTGCTCCCGGGGACGCGGAGGACTCGGGCCGGCTGGGGAAGCGCCGACTCAGCGACTCCTGTGCCCGGTGCCTCAGCACTTTCCAGTCACCTGAGAGGACAAGGGCTGTGGGCAGGGGGCTGCCTGTGAGCACAGGGGCGCAGGGGGAAATCCGAATGCGCCCCCGGTAGGACAGATGGTGGGCGCTGGGAATATATAGTTCCACGAATTGATTGACAGCCCAGGGTGTGGGCCAGAGACTGGGGGTGGGGTGGGGAAGGGGTGGGTGGGGAGGCGGATGGAAGGGGGTCGTCACGACGGGAGAAAGTGGTTAGGGAAGGAGGGAGGCTGGGAGGAGGAGGAGGAGGAGGAGGAGGAGGAGGAGGAGGAGGAGGAGGAGGAGGAGGAATAGAGGTTAGAAGGGACAAGCGTGGAGGGAAGCGGGACCCAGGTTAGGACCGAGGAAGAAGGAAGGAGAAGGTAGACCAGGTTAGGGAAGGGGGTGAACAGAAAACTAGGGACAAGCACCCAGAATCTGGGGACAGGGTCATGGGAAAGAGTCGGGGACCCTGGACACTGCAAGGAGAGGGGAGTGGGAAGACCAGAAACCAGAGGAGGACGGGGATGGTGGATAGAGACGAGTCCCAGGCACCGGGGAAGAGGACCGAGGATGAGCGCTGGGGTTGGGGATGGGTAACCATGGATGAGAGAGGGCTGGGAGTGGATGCCAGGGTGGGGATGGGGGCCGGAAAGGAAGGAAGGGGAGGAGGAAGAGAAAGGGGTGGAAGGGAGGGACGGGGTGGGGGTGGGGGGTGTTGCCAGGGATGAGACAAAGAGGCTTCTGGTAACCACTTCCACGTGGGAAGCCCTCCATTCCCAGAGCGCCTGCCCCTCACATCCCTTCTTTCAGGGAGTGGTCGGGGGCTCGGAGCTCAGGGCTTTGAGGGGTGGCCGTGGGGGAAGGGGGGGGACATTTGCATGGAGTGGCAGCCTCAGAGGGTGGGCACCCTGGCTGGCTCCACGCTGCCGTTTATATCTCGGGACCTCACGTCGGATCCTGCCGCCGCCGCGGTGACTGCTTATTTTGGGGTGTCACATTCTGGCAGAGTGAGAAGCGGTTTGCAGCAGCCTAAAACTCCCAGGCAGCGTCAGTGCCTCCCCAGGCCCCTGCGTCACCGGCACTGCCGCCACCTCCATCCCGCTCCTGGCTCCCACCTCCCGGTCCCTGTCCCCAGGCCCCAGCCTCTTCCCAGCCTTTTCTGCGTGGAGCTGTTGCTTCTCATCTGGGACCCTGGGTACCTCCTTCAGAGTCAGAGGCCTTGACTTCCCAGGCCACTCATTCTGCACCGGCCTCTCTGCCCTGTGGGTTGGTGCCCTGGCTCCTGCCTCTACCCGGGGTCCATCTGTTTCCTTTCACTGGAGCCTCTGAACCCAAGGGAGGCTCCAGGGGTGAGCACTGTGTTTCTGAGCCTTGGTTCTCCGGGTGATGGCCCAGATTCCTTGACAGTGGTCCCTCAATGAATGGATACTTCTTGGCTCTGGGCACCTCAGCCTTCTGGAATCGATACCATGTTCTGGCCTCTCTCCATCCCTCCTCTGGTCAGTTCTGGCCCTATCTCCTGGGCACTGGTCATCTCTCCTTGACTCCCAACAGCCTCGCCGCTAGAGCTGCCCTGACCTGGAGCCCAGGAGAGGAAGGTTGCAGAGAGAGCCTGATTCCCTCTTTGCCTCGACCCTGAACAGCCCAACAGACCCAGCGTCAGGGCTGGCCCAGCCCTGTGCACCTGGGCGCAACTTTAGTCCTCCCTTTCTCTCAAGGGCCACGTCTCTCGCACTCAGAGCAGTTTCCTTGGGTGATGTGAGGTCTCCCTTTGGACGTGCGCTTGTCCATCCCGGGTCCCGCCTATACCAGCTGCGTGGCCTGAGGCAACTCATTCCATGTTTCTGAGCCTCCCCCCTATCTTCTGCAGACTGGGGCCATTGTATGGATCTCGCAGGACTTATGTTGTATTCTATGTGCATAAAGACATGTACAAATAGTGTCTGGCACACAGTAGGTGCTTAGTAACAGATGGTTTCTGCCTGTCCCTGCTCTACACTCCCCTGCAACATTAGCCATTACCTGCAGACTTTAGAATAAAGGAGAAAAGAGAGGAAGGGGTGAGCAGAGAGGGTGGGGACACCTAGAAGGGGCTTTCCTCAGCCCATAGAGGAGGGGGGAGATGACATGAGGCTCCGAGAAAGGAATTGGAGGCGGACACCAGAGATTCGGTCAGAAACTGAGCCTTCCCCTCTCTAGCCTTCAATGGTGTTGCCTGGGCAGTAAGAGCTTTGCTCTGATGGCCGCTGAGGTGCCCCCTTCCAGCTCTGATGCCCTGTGCATCTTGCCCCAGTCTTTGCCAGGGATTCGCAAACTGAGGGCTGGGAGTGGGACTGTGGTCCTGGAGAGAGAGGAGGCCACAGGCCTGGAGAGAAGGACTGAGGGGGAAGAGCCCTGAGAAGCAGGGTTGGGGAGGGGACCATGGTGAGAAGGAAAAGGGCAGGGACAGGAGAGCAGAGGAGGAAGAGAAAGGCACAGCTCCCCAGCTCCCTGCCCACCCCCCTCAGTCCAGGAGCACTCCAGCCAGGCCTGGGGGCAGAGAAACCAGTGCCTCCCACCTCCCCCTCCTCCTGGCCTCCAGTGAGAGCTGCAGCCTGAATTATGGATGAGGCTCCTTGGGTTACAGCTGCTTTGCATGGCGGCAATGGCCAGAAATGGCAACAGAGTCACTGTTACGCAGCTGCTGTCATGGAGGGGCCCTGCTCAGGCTTGGGGAGGTGGGCCTTAATGGGAGAGACATGGGGACCCAGGGGAGGGGTGGGGAGAGAAGGGAGGAGCCCCTTATGTGGGCAAGGGGTGGCCAGGGAGCTGTGGGGAGAGGGATGCTGGCTCCCCCAAGCTGCTGAGCTCAGCCTCCAGCTGGGAGAGCCCCTGGTGCCACACCGTGGCCCCTGACTCTGCAGCGCTCCAGATTGCACATCCTTCCCTCGGTCTCTCCTGGGCCCTAGAGGCCGGGGGAGAGCAGTCCTCCCTAGGGCTGGCGGCCTTCAGGGCCCACACTCTTGGGAGCTTGTGGATAAGGGGTAGGGTTAAAGGGTCAGAGCAGGATTTGGCTTTCTCTGGTGTCAAGTCCTTGGGGAAGCGAGCTCAGAGGGTGACTCTGCCAGGAAGGGAAGTGCCCTGGCCAAGCATGAGGAGATTCCTTTCTGGTCCTTGCCCTGCCAACCACTTTGCTGTGTGACCTTGGGCAAGTCGCTTGCCCTCTCTGAACCCCAGTTGTGACTAAAGTAGAACAAGAGCTTGAACCAGATGGACTGGAGAACCTTCCCAGCTCTGGCATCTCCCGTGCTAGCCCCAAATCTCAGCCCTGCTGAAACCCACTGAGGTTCCCTACCCGCTCCCACATCCCACCCCTGCCAGGTTCTGATGAGGGGTGAGAGACATGCTCCTCCACCCCACGTGGCTCTGAAACACTCGGGAGAAAGTGATCGTGAACTGCCGCACGGGGGAGGGGTGCGAAGGGCCGAGAAACGCGGAGGTGGTGTGAACGAATAGCGCAGCAGCGCTGTGTCACTGAATATTACATCACACCCAGCCTACACACGCATGGGGCCGGCACTCGGCACTCACACACGCGTGGGGACAGCCAGCACATGCAGGGAGGATCGGGGATGCTCATGGTGAGGCCCCAAATTGAGGAGCTGGAGCGCCACATCGGCATGGGGTTCCCCACCCCTGCCTGTGTGTCCCCCATGGGAGGAAGTTCACGGGACATCCATAATGTCTACGCCACTCAAGCACGCTGGCTGTGCAGCTCTGCGTGTAGTGTGCACTGGGCTCAGACATAGACATTCACGCACAGCGCCAGGCATCACGTACAGTCATGCACCCCTCGGTCTTCCCCAGGGTCTCTGAACCCCAGGAAATAGGTCCTGGGTCCAAGGCCCACTCTTCCTCCCCTCGGCCTTTGATTCGCAAGAGATCTCAATTTAGCCCCAACCGGTCTCAAATGGGGGCGATTTTGCTCCCCAGGAGACATTTGGTAATGTCTGGAGACATTTTGGTTGTCATAATCAGGGGGAAGGTGTTACTGGCATCAAGTGGGTAGAGGACAGGGATGCTGCTAAACACCCTAAATAGGACACCGTATAGGACTGTCCCCCACAACAAAGAGCGATCGGCTCAACTTTCCATACGAAGGTTCTGAGGCCTGACAGTCAAACCCACCGTAGTGACAACAAGAACGGAAAAGACCACCACTCTGAAACAGCCTGCAGCATAGCAGTGCTTTCCACGGTGTCCTCCAGGCATTTCTTTCTTTATTTTTATTTTTTTAATATACCAGGGGTCTCAAAAAGTGGAAGTGGCCGGGGCCTCTTGCAATTAGGTTGTTTGTGCCCAGAACCCTCCCACCCAGGAGCCAGGCTCCTGGCCATTAGGGGTGGGTGGGCAGGCCCCTGGCGGGCACTCCTGCCCTTGCAGCCTGCCCAGAAAGGCCTGCCCCCTGTCCCCACAGGTCCCGCCTCAGCCTGCCTCCTGCTGCTGCTCCTGGCCCTGCCCCCAGCGGCCCCCAGCTGCCCCATGCTCTGTACCTGCTACTCGTCCCCGCCCACCGTGAGCTGCCAGGCCAACAACTTCTCCTCCGTGCCGCTGTCCCTGCCGCCCAGCACCCAGCGCCTCTTCCTCCAGAACAACCTCATCCGCACGCTGCGGCCGGGCACCTTCGGGCCCAACCTGCTCACGCTGTGGCTCTTCTCCAACAACCTCTCCACCATCTACCCGGGCACCTTCCGTCACCTGCAGGCCCTGGAGGAGCTGGACCTCGGTGACAACCGGCACCTGCGCTCCCTGGAGCCCGACACCTTCCAGGGCCTGGAGCGGCTGCAGTCGCTGCACCTGTACCGCTGCCAGCTCAGCAGCCTGCCCGCCAACATCTTCCGCGGCCTGGTCAGCCTGCAGTACCTCTACCTCCAGGAGAACAGCCTGCTCCACCTCCAGGTGAGCCACCCACCCGTGCGCAGGCCCCTGCACACACTCCCCTGCTTTCCCCTCACCCCTCTGCCCCTGTGTGTGTCCCTCCGCTCTCCCCGGCCCGCCCTTCCTGCCTCAGCATCTCAGCACCCTCTCCATGTCTGCCCCTTTTCTAAGTGTGTCCCTCGCACTTTCTCCAGGGGCTTTTCTCCCTTTGGTCTGTCTGTCCGTCTGTCCGTCTATGCCTGTTTGGTTCCCTTGCTGCCCCTCTCTCTCACTCCCTTATCCTCCACCCCCCCCCCCCCACTGTGTGTCCCCTTCTGCCTCTGCCTATCTTGCCTGTCTACCCCTCTCTGCCTCTCTCACTGACTTGCCTTCCCCATCTGTCCTCTGGTCTTCTGTCTGTCTCCATTCACACGCCCACTCCACACGCACCCCACGTCTGGTTGGTGTGCGTGTCTCTCTGTGATCTCTCCTTTTCCCCTCGTTTGCCTTCGGGGGCTCTGTCTCTCCCCAGGCGCCAGGCCTGAAGGCCTCTGTGGCTGCTTTCTCCCCACCCCACCTCCTCCCACTGCCGCTGGTGTCCCAGAGAAGGCCCCCCTCTCTCCAGCACACTGGCTAATGGGACAAGGGGAAACCCTACCCTTTCTAGATCCCCATCCCCAACCTGCTGTCTCACTGAAAGGGAAGAAGGAAAAAAAAAAAGGGTAAAGAGCTGTTAAGTAGCTGGAAGATGGATGCTCTGAAAACGGAAGGAATAACAGTAATTGCTATTTATTGTTATTATTATTGATCTAAATATTGTTTATTGTTGTTATTAAGCTGACTGTCTGACAGTCAAACCCTCCCATTCTATTTCCCCAGGAAGCAATAACACACCCTCCAAACCACCCTCCCTGGGCTCCACAGCCTCAGGCTGGAAGGGGGCTGGAATATCCAAACCCTCCCTCCCCCCACATAGATGGAAGGCATGCCTCCTCCCAGCGGGCTGGTGCCGATTTGAAAATCAGGTCAGGGTTTATGCTGATAAAGATAGTAACAATGGCAATAATAACTTAACAAACATGCACTGTGCACCCACTATGTGTAAGGTGCTGAGAATACAGCAGTTAACAAAACAAACAAAACCCCCTGCCTTCGCTGAGATAGCACTCTAGGTGGTGGAGAGAGACAGAAGTGAAATACGGTAGCCCCCCTCTTACCTATGGGAGATCCGGTCCAAGACCCCAGGGATGCCTGAAATCTCTGACAGTACGGAACCTTGTATGTACTATGTACATACACACCTATGATACAATTAGTTTATAAAATAGGCACAAAAAGATATAAACAATAATAACTAGCCCTGGCCGGTTTGGCTCAGTGGATAGAGCATCGGCCTAGGAACTGAAGGGTCCCGAGTTCGATTCTGGTCAAGGGCACATGCCCAGGTATCAGGCTCCATCCCCGGTAGGGGGCTTACAGGAGGCAGCCAATCCATGATTCTCTCTCATCATGGATGTTTCTATCTCTCTCTCTCCCTCTTCCTTCCTCTCTGAGATCAATAAAAATATATTTTTAAAAAATAATACTAATAATAAAATAGAACAAGTATAACAACATACTGTAATAAAAGTTACGTGGATGGCTTTGAGGCCATAATTAAGTGAAACAGGGGGACTTAAACACAGGCACTGTGGGATCACGACACTTGATCTGACAACCGAGGCGGCTACTCCTAGTAAGTGTCTAACAGGCAGGTAGCATATGCAGCATGGAGACGCTGGGCAAAGGGATAACACATCTGGGTGGGATGGCTTCGAGATTTCTCCACGCTAAATAGACCAGCACGCAATTTAAAACTTATCAATTGTTTATTTCTGGAATTTCCTATTTAATATTTTTGGACCATGGTTAACTGCAGGTAACTGAAACCATGGAAAGCAAAACCGTGAAGGGGAGTGGGGGACTGCTGTCCATAGTACGCTGGAAAAAGATGTCGTGTTATTATGATTGCACCAATAATGATGGTAGTACCCACTACCACTTAGTGGACACACTATGCGAAGGCCTTTATGGGAATTGGGCGCTATGCTAAGGCCTTTATAGGTATCAACTCTGCCACTTACAAGTGTGTGACATTTTTCAATCCCCCTGAGCCTCAGTTTTTCCATTTGTAAATTAGGGGTAGCACCAGCCCATCTCCTAGGGATTTCATAAGTGTAAGTGCATGAATAATTTGTAGAGCGCTTGGAATAGTGCTTGGCATGCGATACGCACTATATAAATGCTTGTTAAAATACTATTTTAAAAGAGGCAAGCCTCATTTAACATTGATCTCAGTGAAATAGCCCATCTTGGACTTCATCTTGAAGATTTGGGTCAACGTCAAGGGTGATGCCCAGGCCATGGGTGGATCCTAGAAAACTCCCTCTTTTCTTTCCTTCCCAAATTTGCCTTGCACCTCACAGTGTCCAAAGCACGCTCAGCCACCTCACCTCATTTCCACAGCCCTGTCAGGAGATGCTTACACCTCCCCACAGATGAGGAAACTGAAGCCCAGGGTCCCAAGAGTTTGTAGATATAAGGCCTCTTCACATGAAGTCTCTTAAACCATTGCCGATATGACTGGGGGCTCCCATGTTCTCAGCAGCACGTTTAACCTCACAAAAGCCTGGCAGTAGAGACAGTTAGGGACAGTAGGGACACGAAATGAAGTTCCTGAGGCCACCGAACCAGGCAGAGCTGGTGGTACTAGAACCTGCGTGGGCTGATGACATTTCAGGCCATTTTCATCACTCAGAACTCTCCACTAGGGTCTGTCTGAGTGGAGGGGGGTGGTACCCTGAAGTACAGCAGCATGAGCTCATTTTTGAAGGCTCTCGCCTTGGAGTCTACCAGATGTAGGTTCAGATCCTGGCTCCTATATGACTTTGGACAAATTATTAAGGATCTTCCCATCTCCATGTCCTCATCTGTAACATGGCCACCTTAATAGGGTTAGCACAGGGCCACACTCAGGTACTGCCACTGACACCTGACCTCCTCAGCATTTATCAGTGGCTCACAGTGAGACAGCTAGGGTCAGAGGGCCTGAGTTGGAATCCCTGCTCTGTTGTTTCCTGACTTTTTTAACTTAAGGCATGATGCCTCTCCTCTCTGAACCTCAGTGTCCTCATCTTTAAAGTGGAAATAATAAAAGTCATCCTTTCCACAAAGAACGGCTGTGCAGAGTAAATGAGTTGTGTAGATACAGCACACAGTTCAGTGCTGAATAAACCCTGTCATTAGAACCTGATCCGCCACTGACTCCGAAATGGGAAGTTGGTTCTATACACCCCTGGCATGAATGGCATGGCATCTTCACACCAGGCCCTTTATAGAGAAAGGAAGGGAGGGAGGAAGGGAGGGAGGGAGAGAGGAAGGAAGGAAGGAAGGAAGGAAGGAAGGAAGGAAGGAAGGAAGGAAGGAAGGAAGGAGGAGGGAGGGAGGGAGGGAGGGAGGGAGGGAGGGAGGGAGGGAGGGTCAGCCTCTGCCTGTGAACTGCCTGGAGGAACTAGGCTGGGAGATACCACCGGTGGGGGAGGAAACATGGGCTGGGGTGATGTCCACAGAATGCAGGTGTGCCCCAAGATAGGGCTGGGCCTCCCCAAGAGGGAAGCTTTGGAGGAGGCAAGAGGACCACAGCTTTTAATGATGAGGAAGGTGGAAATGGAAATGGGGTGGGCTGGAGGTTCTCACAGACTGTCTTCTGTGTGCCAGGTACTGTGCCAGGTGAGTTCATTCATCAACAGATGTGTATTGAGTACCTACTGCATGCCAGGCAGTGTTCTGGGTGCCAGGGACTCAGGGGGGAACAAAAACAATCTCTCTGCTCTCCTGGAGTGTATTTCCTACTCGAAAGGAACCAGAACCTTTCACTCATTACAGCAGCCTGCATGGTGCATAAGAGCAGCCATTGTACTCAGGCACATCTGAGCCTGAATGGCAGCCCCACCTCCAGTTTGCTCTGTGGCTTTGGGCAAGTTACTTCACCACTCTAAGCCTGAATGGCCCCCTCTGTAACACGGGGGAAATGCCCTGTGCCTCCGGGGTTTATTGGGAGGGCTCGAGGAGATGCTACTTGAAGAGGGCTCAGCAGTGTCTCATTCAGAGTAAGTGTAACGGACAACTAGTGGGTCCAGGCCACCTGTCACTACGTGAGCCAATTAAGCAGACAGGGTTGAATCGTTTAGGAGCATTTATTCCAATAATGCTGGCAGTATGGGAGAGCAGCAGGTCATCCACAAAAATCTGCGCTCCCCTCCCCACAAGCCATCTGCTTATATTGGGTAGAAGGGCAAAGATTATGTGGGAAGGTAGGAATTACAGGCATGGGAAAGTAGGCACGGGATAATGGTTACAGGTTACAGGCCATGTGGGCTTGGACAGGGGGCTAAGGGGATTGTAAAGGGCAGGCACCTCCAGGACTAGATTGTTCCAGCCATGAGGTTGTAGGCAGCTCTTGGGAGAGGAGGATGGACTTCATCCCAATGTTAATTCCCATGTCCCAGGGTGTACAACTGTCAGCCAGGTGAGAATGTGCTTTCTCTAATCAGAACAGAACAATCACGGTTAACAGAGCATGATTAATATTTCTCATAATTATAGCTAGTCCCCAATATTCTATTTCTGCCCCTAACATAAGCATCATTTCCCCCCATTTAACAGCTGAGGACACTGAGGCTCAATGAAATAAGGCATCAGCCCAATTCAGCCTAGAATTGGCCCAGGTCTGTCTGACTCAAGTGTAGCCGTTCAGAACCCTGTCTCCAGAGTTCGTGTCCACATTCTACTACATGTTAGCTGTTGAAACCTAGGCTTGCCCTCTCCCAGCTTCCCTTTCCTAATCTCTGAAAGGGGAGATAATAACATCTGCTTCATAGGGTTGTGATGATCAGGTTGCTACAGGAGACGTGTGTAGCGCAGAGCTTGGCCCATAGTGAAAGCTCAGTAAGTCATCTGCTTGCCTATGCTGACGCAGACCATGACAATGACACCAGGCATAGGTTCATGATCTCTGTGAGGGGGGGAGGGGGGGCTGGCACAGAGGAGGCACTCAATACAGCTTTGTTGAATGAATGAGGTACATTCCAGGATTCACTCACTCATAAATATCAGATGAGGATGGATCTTAATGATCAACTATCTCAAGTCCCTTGTTTCGCAGATAAAAAAAAAAAAAAAAAAAACTGAGACTCAGAGAGGTTCCTGGAGCTGCCCAAGGTCACACAGCTCAGCCACTGGTGCCAAAGACTGGAGCTTGGGAGGGGTGGAAGGAGGCAAGGTTAAGAACAGGATGCTGTCCAGAGAAGAGGGCAGGGATGCTGCGTTGAGATTCCATATGGATGTGAAGAGCTGTAAACTGGCTGGGGGAGGTGAGGGAAATGTGGTTTTGGAAATGGAAGAAGATGACTTTAGCAGCCACTCTCAGCCCAGAGGGAGGGAGCGATAGGGAGGGTAGTGGGGGAGGGCGAGGGCTGTGAAAGTCAAGAGCTTATTAATGCACAGAGAAGGTTTTAACAGTGGAGAGAGGACTGGATTTGAGAGCTGCAGCTCAGGAAGTGGCAGCGGGATTTGGCAACAGCTTGGATGGGGGGAGGGGAAATGGACCCCCAAGCTGAGGTTCAGGGAGGAAAGGGGCAGAACTTTTGCAGAGGGAAAAGGGGGAAGGAGAGGAGGGTAGAATCAAGGAATTTTGTAGCCCAAAAATCGGGGCTGTGGGCCAAAGGCGCCTGAATTCCCTAGGGGCTCTGAACCTTTGATCTTCTCTTCCTGACCCTCCCAAGCCAAACTCCATTACCTGTGCTTCCTCAACCCCACCCCCCCACTAATCCTCTCACAGGTATCTCTGAGCGTGTCCCACTCTTAATGACACCCATAAAAAAGAGAGACCCTGGCTAGGTGTTTGAATAGAAGGGACTCAGAGCCCACTCTCAGAGTGGACCAGAAAGAGGACAAGGGTACCAAGCTAAATTGGGCCACAGAGGTCCAGGGAGCCCGCTAGAGACCTGAGCTGAGCATGGGGGAGGCACAGGGAGTGGAGAATGCTGGTGTCAGAGGCAGCCGAGAAGGTTGAGGGGGACGGATCTCAATGTGGCCAAGAGGAGGGTTCTTGGCAGGCTCAGTTCCTGTAGCGGAGAGGGCGGAAGCCAGATGGGAGGGGGCGAGAACACGCAGGAGCACAGGAAGGTGGAGGCTGTGGGTGTGGGCGGGGAGTCAATGCCCTGCCCCCACCTGAGAGCCTTTGACCAGACTCCTGGGTGGGGTAGGGGGGTCATCCCCCCAGACAGGGAAGGGTGGGAGAGCCACAGTCGGGAAACAGGTCCCCCAGGGTGCGCTGGCTTGAGCATAGAGGATGCCTGTGTCCCTAAGAACCAGACCTCCTGGGCCCGCTGACCACAGGGATGTCCTGCATCACTGAGGCAGGGCCTCAGTCCTGGGGCTCTGGTCCCCTCTGGCAAACTCTCCATCTCTCTGGGCCTCAGTGCTCTTCTCTGTAAAAAGTGGGCTGGGCTGGTGGACCCTGGAGCTGATCATCACCTTAGTGAGCTGGTTAAAATGCAGAATCCAGTCCCTGGGCCCTCCCACCCATGGAGCATAGCCACTCCCCCACGCCCACACCCCCCTTCATTCTGAACCACAGTCCAAGATGATCATGGCCTGATTTGGGCACTGCCCAGCCCCAGACAAGTGGGACAGCCCTTCTAAGGGGGCAGTGACGTAGGACATCAGGCAGCAGCCTTCTTTCCCCTCCCTGGCTGCCTTTGGGGGTGGGGGAGAGCTGACACCTTGGTCCCCTTAATATCTTAGCCTAATAGCAGGACTCTTGGACCCCGGAGAGCTCCTCAGTTATCTGAGCCTCTATTGTAATAGCCATCATTTGTCGAGGGTGGTGGAGGTCCCTACCAGGTCCTTACAGCATGATCTCATCTACCCTTCCCCCAGCCTCTGAGTACTCTCCAAGTTATACAGACTGAGGAAACAAGAGGCTGTAAGAGGCTAAATAACTTGCCCAAAGTAACGCAGCTGGGAAGAGGGCAAGATGAATGGGCACCAGGGGCTGTGACTCCTGAGCCTGTGGGCTTCATCATTGGACTGGATACCAGTGTGCCAGGCACTGTGCCCAGCACTTCGCCATCTGATCTTTATGGATCATCTTCTTTAATCCTCAGAACAAGCCCATGAGGAGGCACACTCATCGCCATTTCATCGATGAGGCAACAGGCTTAGAGAGATTACTGGCTTGGCCAAGTTAAAGATAATGGCCAACTCCTCGAATGCCTCCCACATGGAAACCTTGTTCTAAGCACCTTAACACGTGCTGCTTCATTTAATCTCCACATCTTACAGATAAAGAAACAGAGGCATAGGGATACTGTGACTTGCCCAAGGTGGCACAGCCAGCTATGATAGATCCAGGGTTTGACGTCAGGAGGTCAGGCTCCTCTGTCTGCACAGTGAACAAGTGTCTTCTTCTCCGAGTGTGGTCCCCGGACCAGCAGAGGCAGCACCTCCTGGGAACTTGTAGACAGGCAGATTCTCGGGCCCCACCTGCTACATCACAAACTCTGAGGACAGCGCTTCGGGATCCCCGGGGATTCTGATGGTCCCTAAAGTTTAAGGACCACTGGCCTCAATTACATCACCTTTTCCACAGTAACTTCTAACTATGTTAGAGGAGGCAGGATTCAAACCCAGGACTCCAAAAGGAAAAGCCAAGTTGGCCCTAGCTGGTTTGGCTCAGTGGATAGATAGACCATCTGCCTGCAAACTGAAGGGTCCAGAGTTCTCTTCCAGTCAAGGGCACACGCCCCCGGGTTGCGGACTCCAGCCCCAGTAGGGGGCGTGCAGGAGACAGCCGATCAATGATCGTCTCTTATCATTGATGTTTCTATCTCTCCCTTTCTCTCTGAAGTCAATCAATGTATATTTAAAAAGCAAAAGAAACGTCAAATTGTTTCCCACAGCGTTCCCCTTCCTTCCCCACCTGTCTCAGGACCTCTCTCTTCTCCACCTCTTCTCCCAGGATGACCTGTTCGCGGACCTGGCCAACCTGAGCCACCTCTTCCTGCACGGGAACCGCCTGCGGCTGCTGACGGAGCACGTGTTCCGCGGCCTGGGCGGCCTGGACCGGCTGCTGCTGCACGGGAACCGGCTGCAGGGCGTGCACCGCGCGGCCTTCCGCGGCCTCAGCCGCCTCACCATCCTCTACCTGTTCAACAACAGCCTGGCCTCGCTGCCCGGCGAGGCGCTGGCCGACCTGCCGGCGCTCGAGTTCCTGCGGCTCAACGCCAACCCCTGGGCGTGCGACTGCCGCGCGCGGCCGCTCTGGGCCTGGTTCCAGCGCGCGCGCGTGTCCAGCTCCGACGTGACCTGCGCCACGCCCCCGGAGCGCCAGGGCCGGGACCTGCGCGCGCTCCGCGAGGCCGACTTCCAGACCTGCCCGCCCGCGGCGCCCACGCGGCCCGGCAGCCGCGCCCGCGGCAACAGCTCCTCCAACCACCTGTACGGGGTGGCCGAGGCCGGGGCGCCCCCCGCCGACCCCTCCACCCTCTATCGAGACCTGCCCGCCGAAGACCCGCGGGGGCGCCCGGGCGGGGACGCGCCCACCGAGGACGACTACTGGGGCGGCTACGGGGGCGAGGACCAGCGCGGGGAGCAGACGTGCCCGGGCGCGGCCTGCCAGGCGGCCCCGGACTCCCGCGGCCCCGCGCTCTCGGCCGGGCTCCCCACCCCTCTGCTTTGCGTCCTGCTCCTGGCGCCCCACCACCTCTGACTGCGGTGCTGGGACTGCAGAGGCCGGGCTGGCCCCCAGCCCCCAGCCCCCAGCCCCCAGCTGCAGCTCGGGCCCAATCCCCGCCCCTGGCCTTGCTGCCTCCCTCTCCCCTCCCTGCTCCGCCCTCCCCTGGGACCCGGCCGCCTCTCCCTGCCTCCTGGGATGCTGGCTTAAGACTATCCCAAGGGGCTGTGTGTCTGGTGGCTCAGTCCCATTCTCCCCAACTCTGGCCATGAACTCGGTCCCATCCCACGGTGGGGTGGGGCATCCCAGGCCGGCGCTGACCCTTCTCGCAATGCCCACCGCGGACTGGGACTCGAGAGGAACTTTGTGTGCAGTGCATCTTCCACCAGCAGAGCCTTCAGAAGCTCCGGAAGGGAGCCCACCCAGGAGCCCTGCGGAGGGATGCCCCGGGGGGCCAGGCTGACCCTGGGCCCCTGCTTCTCTAGCCCCTCTCAGTCTCCCGACACGGGAGGAGTACTTTTCTCCTACGTCTACCCGGGACACTTTTTAGGGTGCCTGGAGAGATCTTTCCTCTCCACCGTGGCCCCTGTGTGGTGAAGATCAACAGAAGTTGTTTGGGGGGGAAATTTATTAAAAATTCTATTATTTTATCTCCTCTGTAAGGTTTGTTGGCTCGGGACCTCAAAAGTGGGAGAAGGGCAAGGAACCACCAGGATTTCAGGGCCAGGAGGATTAGAGAAAGGGGGGCCCATTGTGCCCTTGAAGAGCTTCTTGCTCCCCCTGGGAGAAGAGGCTGCGCCTGAGGAACAGGGGTGTGGCCTGGAGTCCCAGGCAGGCCAAGATGGGGGCTGACAGCACCTCCACTCCTCTTTGTCCAGGAGAAGTGGCTCCAGCCGACCCTGACTTGTGTGGTGCCCAGGGAGCTAAGCCTGGGCAAGGCCTCCAGCCTGGCTGGCTCCCTCCCAGTTCCCACCTTCTTGCAAGGAGGAATCATAGCCATCCATGGTCACAGCCAGCCCAAACACGACTTAGAGCAAGTCCGAAAAAGACACCTCTTCTGCAGGGGAATCCAGCCCCACACCAGACCACACACTCAGCAAGCAGAGCCTCAGGCTGGATTTCAGCTCCCACGTGCCCTCCGCTGAGTGCCCGTGCACAGTGCACAGTCTGCACACCGGTACACAGCCCTGCAGCCAGCCCGTCCCTGGCTCCTGCGATGGACCACGTCAGAGAACCAGTTCTCCAGGTTAGAGGAGAAACCAAGGGGCTGGGTGACCAGAGAGACAAGAATCCTATGTTGGGGTGCCTTGCTGGCTTGAAGCATGCTCAGAAGCTTCATCTGCCCATGTGGGGAGGAGAGACTGGAGTAAGGGAAGAGCCTGGGCTAAGAAGGACCTACGATGGAGGTTAGGCATGTTAGGGGTGAGGCTCATCAGACAGAAGCATGAGGAGATGTCCGATGGTTTAAATTTAGGGTTAAGAATCTAACTTGGGAGGTGGGAATGGAAAGAGGGGACCTGGATGCCAGGGTTCATGGAGGATGAATGCTGAGATTATGTGACTCTGGCCAGGCAAGTCAGAAGGAAGATGAAATGAGATGAGGTAGCAGAAACAGGAAGGGCTCAACATCTAAGGCCTGAGGCAGGTGGACTTTGGGAAAAGGTGTGGGGGTAATGAGAGCAACCAGCTAGTCAGGAAGCAGGGGGTCTCTGAGGCTGGGGTGTCACAGGGGCCTGTGTCAGGCTGGCTTTGCAGAGGCTAATGTTGGGGGGGAGGAGGACACAGCCAGGCAAGAGCTCTGATGGGGGAGGGGCTGCCGGGGCCTGGGCAGGGGGAGGGAGGATGCTGGTAAATCAGCAGCAGGCTGTCCAGGTCACGGAATTATCGTTGTGAAATATTCATGGGCCTTCGGTCCAGATGCTATTTCAGAACAGTGAGAGCAAGAGGAGTGTGTGAGCCTCAGGAAGAAGCCTACAGCGATGCCACTTTCCCCCACCCTCACCCCCACCAGCCCAGACAGACCCACGGACGCCCATCACGTGCACTCCCACGCTCGCACGCTCTCTCACACACATTCCCACAGAGCCGAGCTACAGAGCACGTGCAGGCATGCCAACACCCACGGGTCCCACAAAGGGCAGATGCACCCCCAACACTGACATGCACACAGCCACTCACACAGGACCCCACACAGAGCCACCCACAGAGATCTCACACACACACCGACCCCCAGCCTCTCCAAACCTCCCAGATTCACTACTTTCATACACCCTGAAATGGGAGGGACTATAACGGCCACCCAGTCCAGTGCTCTGATGGGGAAACTGAGGCCCAGAGAGAAGGGACTTGTCCAAGACTCCCCAGCATAAAAGAAACAAAACTCATTCACCTCCCCCATTCTGTGGGTGTACCCACATTCTGTGTTCTCCTGCCTTCCTGACACCCAGCCTAAATGTAGTTATCTCCTCCCCTCTCTAATCTCTTACATCTACTCACCCGGTCCCTCTCCAGCCCCAGTCCATCCCTTCCTTTCCATTCTCCCTGCCACCTCCCTGCTTCATCTCATTACCTCATGCCTAGAAATGCAGGAGAAAATAGCACCAACCTCCTCTCCAGTTTTCCTACATTCAGTCTCTCTCTCCCTCCCACCAGCCTGCCATGGTGGCCAGATTCAGGCTCGCTGAAAGGTGCATTAGGTCCCTGTGTCACTCAGGAACCTACAATGACTCCCTATTACCTACAGGTTAAAGGTAAAACACCTTAGCAAAGCATCCAGGATCCTTCGGAGTCTGGTACCAACAGCCTTTCTAGTTTTGTCTCAGGGCCATGTCCCAAACCTCCACTCCAACTAGAATGATTGCATACTTGATGTTGGCCATCAGTTATAATGCACTTGAAGCCTATAACTGACCTTGAACTCCCCATTAGGTCCCTCAATCTTCCCCAAACTAGGAACCCTCTCTCACTCTCCTCAGGTGCCGACTCCAAAGCCCTTCCCCAAGGCCAATGCTGCATCTCTCTAACCTTATCAATAGGGATTCTTTTACTGTCCTTCAGAGCTGCAGGCTCAGGCTCAGGCTCAGGCTCAGGCTCAGGCTGCCTCCAGGCAGGTGGCTGCCTCCTACTGGCCACTTGGTAATCACAGCCAGGCTTCAGTATCCTGAACTGAGAGTGAGCATCCGTCTGTCCGGGGAGAGGAATAAAAGGCCGCCAGATGACCAGGTTTATAAGCCCTTAAGCCTCTCAGGTTCTTACACTGGGAGTGGGAGCAGGGTTCTGCGCGCTGCTTTCTGAGCTGCTGGCTCCTGAGTTTAGCTCCGTAATCCATAAGAGAACCCCCCTCCTGTGGAATACAAAGACTTGGGGCTCCCAGGACCCTGCTGAAGGGAAATTCGCCCACCAGGCTCTGAGAGGCCACAATGCCAGGGACAGTCCAGGTGGCAGGCCCAAGGTCCAGCAGGGGTCAAGTTTCCACATGAATTTTTAATGCTTCCAGCCAGACCTGTCAGATGTTCCGAAACCTGAGCATCTCCTTTCATCTCTGGACATGATGCCCTTCCCAATCCATTGCCCCTGGGGGAGAGGCAGGGAGGGCAGGTCTGGGACAGCTACCCAGCAGCCTCTGGAGACATGATTCTGGGCAAGCAAAAGGGTGAATAACCTAGTTATTCTTCCGCTTACTGTGTGACCTTGGGGGAGTTACTTAACCACTCTGAACATCCCTTGTGTTTTCTGTTTTCTTTTTCTTCTTTATAATTTGTAACCTGGGAGCAATAGTGCCTGTCTAAATTGGGCAGCTGTGTTAAGTCAGTGCATAGCCCATGGAAAGGTGACCTACATGTTCGCTGTTATTATCTTTCCTCCTGCCTCCCTCCTTCTGTTTTTTTCCAACCCCATGGTGCCTCTACCTCTTTCCTTTGGAGGTGGGGACTTGGGTTGGCTCTGCCATCCCCTGCTAAGATCCAAACTGCCCACCGCAGGACCCTTTGGCCTTGCTAGAAACTTTGGGTGAGGAGGAGGAAGGGAAGAGACGTGAGGCTCGGCTCGGGGAGAGAGAGGAAGATGGAGAAGCAGAGCCGAGGGGAGGGAAGCAGGCAGCAGACAGTGGAAGGGTAAGACCCTGCTCAGAGAAACAAGAGCTAGGAGCAGACTCTTTCTCTCTCCTCCTCTTCTCCCTCCTCCTCATCCCTCCCTTCCCTCCTTCCTGGCAACTTCTCCACACCTGGTCCTATCCTCCTGGGAGCAGAGATGGCCACCCTGAGTAGGGGTGAGGTCAGGAGCATGGAGGAAGGCCTGGGAGGCGGCAGGGCTGTTGAAGGGAGTATGCCCAGGGTTCCAGCCCACGGGTTCCCTGCACCATGTTTCTAGGGGCTTTGACATCACACCTGGGTCGGAAGCTGCTGAATGCAGATTCCTGAGTCCCTCGGACCTGCCGAATCGGATCTCTAAGGGGCCCTGGAATCTGCATTCCAACACTCGGGGTGGGTGACGAAGCAGTCTAAAGGTTGAGAAACATTTCCTTCAATGTGGGTGGTCGGTGGGGGTGCGGGTGTAGACAGCAGAAAGCAAAGGAAGAAATGTTAGGTCCCGCCCCCTCCACGCAGACTTGATGGGAGTTACAGACAAGACTCCTGCTTGGAGAGGGTGATGCCAGCGATGGGGAGCAGAGGACACGGAGGCAGAGGAGGAACGGGGGACTCGGAGAAGGTGACACCCAGAGTACGCAGCCGCGGAGGAAACAGACTTGTGGGGGACCCCCTCTAACCCCCGCCCCTCCTGACGATCTGAGAGACTGAACTTCTGGTCTGGGATGCGGAGACCCTGCAAGAGGAGTGCCAGGGAGGACACCTCCCAACTCCAAGGACCAGCGCCCCGGCAGAGGGGCGATGCGCACGGATACGGGGTACACACCCGCCACTCTCCGGCCGGAGCCCTCCACCCTCCGCTCGGAGCTGGCTCGGGTCCCGCGCCGGCTGACCTCCCGCCCCCTCCCCACACCCCCTCCCCGCTCATCTGCATAAAGTTCCAATTAGCACTCCTTCCGACAGCTACTTAAGCTCCCCGAACACGCTCCGAGCTCCGGAGCCCTCTTCCCGCCGCCCCCTCGCCCCCGGAGTGCGGCCCCGTTAACCGCACAACATGGGCAGCTCCCAGAGGCCTCGACCCCGCGGCCTGGCCAGCGCCGGGTTGGGGGGGAGGAGGGGCTCGGGGAGTCGGGGGCGCCCCCGGGGCGGGCGATGGCGCGGCAGGTTCTGTCGCAGGCCAGAGGCCGAGGCGCTCCGGAGAAAGACAGGCGCTGCCCCTCCCTCTTTCTGGGAAGAGTTGGGGAGGGGGCCTCTCCTGGGAGACTCGGGGCGTCGAAATTCTTGGTTCCTCATCCGCCGGCCCCCGCACCCCTCCTCCTCCCGCCACGTACCCTCTCCCCTCCCCAGCCATCTGTTCCACTCGGCAGCGCAGCGACAAACACGGCTCCCGCTCGCTTCCGCCCCTGCCCAGCCCCCTCCCCAAGCTCCCCACCCGGTTGGGGGAGTGAGACGACACCCTCCCCCAGGAGGCCGAGGTTTCTGCGGGCACCGCCCACCCGGCCCCGCGCCCCAGCCCGGCAGGGGCCCGCGCCCAGATCCCCTCCCTCGGTCTCCAGGGTCGGAGG